ACAAACAAACAAATTCTATATCCCACTTTTGTTTTATTTTCCACTGTCTTTTCATTCCAGCCAGTAGGGCTGGCAGGCCAGCAGAGGGTTATGCCCTCTCTTTTGCCATAAGGTAAAACTGCAGAGTATAGTGGCTATGGATAATGGGTGAGTTTACTTACTGTATTATTAACCAAGCTTTTATATGTTTTTGTTGCTTTATAGTATGTGGGAGTGAGCTGGATGAAATTGGCTAATTATCAGGATGTTCTGTCTGAATAAGGGCTGGACTGTTCTTCTAGAGAATGTAGGATCTTTCTCATAAGAATTAACTCACTGTTATATCACTTACATTCATTGTCATCAAAGATAGTCCTTCTAAATGGTACTTTGTTCTACATGCACTTTTCTTATTTGTACATTGACTAAGGTCAAACATCTGACACATTTTTAGCCTTTATTTTCTATTAAGATCTTTCCATCTATATTCATAAATATATATATGTATCACACCTTTTTGATTACTTTTATGTAGCCAAATGCTTACATTTCATCACTCAATGTTCTGACATGGTATTGTGTAATTTCAATTAGTGATGTCAAGTGAAACATTATCCAGTTTCACCCAACTGAACTTATGGTTAGTTAGTTATTTTTAATGTAATTTTTTAAAGGTTTTTGTACATCTTTCTGGCATCATACTACCACAAAGTGTAATTTTCTGGAGGTATATATATTCCTAACATGTATAAGTTACTTGTGTCCTTAGAAATTCTTGTACTAGATCTTTGTTCATATTCACTAGGTGTATGTTTCTTTCTTCTTCTACAGTATGATGATATCTAGCCTGCATGTGTTATTTATTTTTCTTCTTCTTGCTTACTTCTTTTACTAAGTGCATGAATTTAGCATGTATTTATTATCATTATTCTAGTCAGTCTTTTCTGGTAAATTTAATTAAGATTACTTCAGTCTTTGTATAGTATATATGATCAAGATAATTTCATCCCTTCCACTTAATTAAGTTCATCTCATTAATACGAATTTCTGACTGTTGGCAAATGAAATTGTACTTAAGTGAAAGAATTAGTACATATTTACAACCTTGCAACATTTGTTTAATAAGAATGTCATAATACGTGCAGAACATCTGCGTGAAAATTTGTAAAACTTCGCTTGAATATGTCTGACTGAAGATATATTCTAAACTGGTTATGAAAGGGTGGAATTTCTGACTATTTCCATCATTACATCTGTAAAAGTTAACATTTTCCTTACCTGAAAACATAATTCCTATTGATGCTCACCTAACTATTTTTTATACATAAATAAAGGTTCTTTATATTGCTGATTTTATGTTGTACATAATCATCCTTTTTTATTATGGTAAGTTAGGGTTTTTTAAATATCTAAAAATTTCTTCTCCATTTTGCAGATAATGAAAATTTGGATTGTGAATCAGTTGAAAAGGCATTTAGGTCAACAGCAAAAAGAAAAAGTAAGAGTGAAACTTAATGTATAAGAAATTATACAAGTACTTGTTGAAATATAATGTTCTACATACGTAATTCCTTTTAATCAAACTGTTTTAAACTTTGTTGTGAACTGTTATAAGTTTATGTTGGCTACTGTTTAATTAAAGCATATAATCACCTGTAGCAACAACATGAATTTTGTTGGGTTTTTTTTTTTGTTAAGCAGAAAACTACATAATGAACTATCTGTACTCTGCCCATCATGTGTATTGAAGTACAATTTTTAGCCTTAGCCTTATAAGCTCTCAGACAAAAAAGCTGTTATTGCTTTACTACAAACTACACAGTAGGCTATTTGTGCTCTGTTCACCGAGGGGAATCAAACCCTGAAATTTAGTGATGCAAGTCAGTAAACATACTGCTGACCTACCAAGGAACAAGAATATGAAATCAGCTGTTTTTGAACAAGAGATAAATCGATTGATAGATTGGGCTTCAAATGTAATTTTTAGTGTTTTAAACAGTAAGTCTGGCTGAATAATTCACAAGAATAGATTGGTAACACCAATGCAGCATAGTCTTGAAATTCCTGTATAAACATAGAATTACTGTGTGAGTAAAAGACATTTCAAAACACCATACATATAATGTGCAATCTACCACTATATGAAGTCTTATTTTTTTCACTTTTCCTGTATCTAATATATTTATTAAACACATTGGAGAAATTCTCCTTAAAGTAGAATGGGTATTCATCATTTTCTAGACATGTCCTTATATTTTATGGTATATTGAGTTTTCTGACAGTTAACAGCACCTTTTCATGCACTATTCAAGTTGAACTGCTCATAAATACTCAGATTAATAATTTGGTACTGGCTTCTAAAAAATAAACAGTATTCCACTTGGAATTCCAAGAATTACTAGAGTGGTGGATTGAATTGTTAAAAATTGCCTTACTAGGATGTGGTAGTGGGTTAATCCTTTAGCTCACTTGTTAGAAAGCTTGCCTGGCATGTAACAGGTCTAGAGTTTGATTTCATGCCAAGGAAGTTATAAAAAGAACTATAATTACCACATTGATGCTCAAAGTTTGACCTTGTTTGTGATGGTGATATTGGTAGTATAAATTATAATAAAAAAGCCATACTAGGAAGTGCTAGGAATTTAACACATTAGCTTAGTTGGTAGGTTACTCATCGGGTTTACAAGAGGTCTCAGGTTCAATTCTGAGCTGAAAAAGTAGTAATATTATTGAAGTTACACCAAGAGAAACTTTTGCTTACTAGTGGTCATTCCATGATTCTGAGGTACAATCTGAGGATGGGCCTTGTCACTGAGAGAGTAAAATTGTAATTATTTGAGTTGTTAAAAATAGCCTTATTAGGATGCCTTTGTCATTTGACCCTTTAGCTCAGTTGGTAGAGTACTCACCTGGTGTATTACAGGTGTGGGCTGAAACCTGAGCTGAGGAAATAATAAACACAGTTAAATTGCAATACTGCTACTGAGTTTTGGTGAGTACGGGCAGAATTCTTTCTCTGATTAAACACTGAACTCAGATTTTCATATAATCTAAACTGCATTATTTCTTTCACTTATTCTTAGAAATGTTGATTTATTTTTTTGTCTGATTATAGTATTGTTACCTGGCAAAGCTTTTCTTCAACCAAGGGATTCACCCCAAACTAATGAAAAGAACATATGGACATATGGATTATTATCAAGATTTGGGGAGAATAGAGTTTGATCATGATTGCTGGTAAGTATTAATGTTATCAAGCACCTAATAAAATCTAATTGTTTTCTTTCTTCAAAGAACATTATTATAACGCCAAGTAATTTATTATTTTTGTTCACAACAGTTTTTCTTGCTACTTTTCATTAAAATATGTATGGCTTAATTTTATATATATATGTGTGTGTGTGTGTGTATATATATATACTTAAGCACACTGTTTCAGAATATACACACACTAATTATTATGATGTGATGAAACCAGAACCCCCTGTTTTATTGATAAACTAAAGACATATTCATAAGTCCCCCAGTGGGACAACAGTAAATCTACAATGCTAAAGTTGGCTAATTTTTATTCAACTTCTCGGTGTGATTATTCTGGTCTTCTCAGACATATTTGATTAGTTGTGACTTAATCACTGCATTTATTCCAAATAACATTTTATAGGTCATTCAGGTAAAACAAACAGTATTTCATGGTATTTGCAGATTATGGTTAAGGAATGAGGTGTATTATGAAGAAATAATAACTAATTTAGATAGTCACTTATTTCAGATTTCAATTTTGTAGGATGTATTTTTTATTGAAATTAAACAGAGATCAGTAAATGAGGTTCAGAGTTAACTATGCAAATACAACTTTAAAAAAAAAACAATTATTTTTAGATAACTGGTTTGAATGATTTTCATAAACTGTAGTTCTTTTAGTAACAAAATCAGTTGGAGGAATTTCTACCTTGTTCGTGACTTCATTTTTAGCAGCATTAAAATGACTGTTGAATAATAAAAGAAAAAATATACATAACATACTTGCACCAGTTACATAATTCTTTTGGTATCTGAAGTGACTTCAATAATTATTTTTGTTCTTAAAAAATTCTTGGTTCATCTATACCAAAGAAAGTGGAAGACAGCTCTGGATATTTGAAATAATATTTTAATCTCCTTTTTAGTTTTGAAATTTTTTCTACTGTGAAATGTGAATGTGAAGATGCAAATGTCACATTCATGTTCTGTTGATTTTTCGGTGCCTTCTTTAATTAGTTTTTGCAATAAAAGGATCCATGATGAACTTCAGTATTGTAATTAACATTTTTTTAATCATTAATTTCTTATGTGTGTATTAGAAATAAAGCAAATTGTTTTGATCTGAAATAGTTTTATGTTTCAAAGTGTAATTCTTATTTTTAAGTCTTATCTACTTCTTCAGCTTGTTGGGAGCATATCTGAGAAAATGATGTGTTTCGTTGGTAAGGCACTATGAGTTGAATGTATATCACATGGAATTTATTTATTATATGGAATACTGTACACTAATATTTCATTTTAAAAACTCGGTTACATTCCACTATCTACAATCAGTAGAAAGTAAAAGTGTTGGGAGTGGTGAAGATTTGAACTTTGCTACATCATCCTCATTCTGATGGTTTGACTTAAAAGGCAGTGCAGACTGTCAAGTGATGCTTGGTAAGTGTGTTTTAACCCTGACTAAACTTATTGGGTTAGGCACTTACCATATGTCATGAAAGCATACTAAGCAAGTTGAATGATTGTTCTCCAGGGGCTAGTATGTAAGTTCGTAAGTTCTTTCCTGCTGTATGGCCATCACCAGTTACACTACTAAGGCTCTTAAAGAACTGACCTATTAACTTATACTTTGACCGGGGGGGGACTTGAACTGTTCACGAATTAAAAAAGTTTATTATAAGCTAACTTTTAATATAATATAATAATTAACTTTTTATATCAGTTATATTTTATAGTTGATTAAATATCAAGAAAAACCCTCTCATACTTGTCAAAAACACTGATCATATTTTCTAATTTTTAGAAGTATTTTAAGCATTTTTGTATTTTGAGTTATTACCTCACTACACCTATATTGTATCTTTGTGTGATTGCAAGGGATATTATGAATCTTCTACTCTCCCCCTCCCTTAGTTACTACGTTTGTTTGCTTTTTTTCAAAGTTTTAGTTTATTTCAGGACTTATTCTTAGTATAGAATGTTGGTTAAGGAAACTACTAAGTTTCTTTCATCTTTGTTATTCATGTGACTGGGTAAGTCACCAAGATGATCATGTGTGTACTTCATTAGAGGAAACCAATGTAGCATACATGATACTATGGATAGAAACAGTGGTCTACCCTAGCAGTGATCCATGTGATATCCATTGTTGACATGAGAGTGGCCCTCAGTCACATGGATGATGCATGCACCTGTGGCGAGAGAACTTTGTTATATTTTCTTCTTTTTTTTTAAGACATACTTTTGTTAGACTCCTGAAATAGATTTTATTTTAAGATATACCAGACTATTATAGAGACCTACATTACAAAGTTTTATGATAATCCAGATTATCATAGACACTACAAAGGTTTAAGATATACCAGATTATCATAGAGACTTACACTACAAAGTTTTAAGATATTTCAGGTTATCATAGAGACCTACATTACAAAGTTTTATGATATTCCAGATTATCATAGACACTACAAAGGTTTAAGATATTTCAGATTATCATAGACTTACACTACAAAGTTTAAGATATTCCAGATTATCATAGAGACTTACACTACAAAGTTTTAAGATATTCCAGATTATCGTAAACACTAGAAAGTTTTTAGATATTCCAGATTATCAAAGAGACTTTCACTACAAAGTTTTATGATATTCCAGATTATAATGAAGACTTGCACTACAAAGTTTAATGATGATTATAGATTTTTTGTTCAAAAGAGACATCCTTTTGAGATAAACTCTGAATTTCTGATACACAGATTTAGATAGATTCCAGAGAGATTACAGATATTGCTAGACTTGTAGAAATTAGGTTTAGCTAAACTCTCACTCTTTAGTTGAAGAGCACTTGTCCAAATGTTTAACCTAATCTTTGATTATATCCAGTCTCTCTCTTTTTTTTCTTTCTTTTTTGTACAAATGCTCAGTCAAAAGTAGAAAAATACAGGTACTGCTCTGTAATACAGTATGTGACAAATCCTCCTGTTTTTGTGGTTCTTTTAGGCTAGTTTAATGAAACCTTATTCTCTAAAACTTCAATCATACTGAAAATTGCTTTGTAGTTTGTATCTCTTTATTACAGTGTATGTTGTTTAAATAAAGTTTTGTCTGTTTGGTTACCTGGAGTTCACCTAGTTTATTATCATTTTGGTACTGTAATTGAAATATAATCATGTAAAACAAAATTAAAAGAAAAACTATATACTAAATTTAACATACTATGAGTTGTGTCTAACGTTAATCTAACTTTGACTTAACCTCCGTTACTTAACAAGACATGAAGTAGGCAGTAGGAAGTCATAAATAAATTTAATAACAGTCAAAAATATATGCAATAAGATTAAAGAAAGTTCAATAAGAATAATAAGACTTGGAAAAGAATGTATGAATAAAAGTAAATATGACAAAATAATTAGCAAAAACAATGTAACTTAACTAATGATGTAGTTTAATCCTATATAGGAAGCTTATATAGTTTGTATTAACTGTCTATAGTAACAGCTTACATTTATGGGAGGTCAAACTAATGGTGGTCAATATGATATAATGGTTCAGTATTACCTTGAATAATTTCTAAGATATTAAATCATAGACATGAAATTTGTAACAAAGTTCTAATATTCAGTAAAATTTGTTAGCAAAAAGACTGTTGAACTTTCTGCAAAAATTGAATGAATTTGATGTTCAAAATATAGTGGAGAAACCTTGTCTGTAAAAAATGCTAGTGGGCTTATGAGCTCTGTCTACATGTTGTGTAATGTAGGGCAAATTCTGTTGTATTTTCTGTTTAGTGATGGTAAATACTGTAACATAACTTTGTAGAATATTTGTACTTTGAAAGTTTGTAACTTCCAAGTTCAATGTTTTTGTATCATTGAAAACTTTAAAGTATATTTTATGCTATGTTTATTATCCTATACTTCATTCTGCATTCTTAACTCATATAATTGTGTAATTCAATCATACTGTACCATAAGATTAACTGTTTCATTGTGATGACCTAGCACATAGTTATTAAATAATATTTTACTGATAAAACGAATATGGTTAAGCAGCTGATCTGAGAGATTAATTATCAAAAAAATTGCACAGAGTAAGAAGAAACTAATTATGGTTATTTCTAAATTAATATATTTATCATCTGTTCTATAAAGTCATTCACTTGCCTGAAATTAAAAATTTAATATGTTTCAGCACTCTATTTTCTTAGTGTGTATGTCAAATGTTTCTAATTTAACATTGGCATAGTTGGCAGAATCTTTAGTCATAGTTGAACTATGAAATACAACTTATTGAACCAGTCAAAAAGTGGTGGCACAATTGTTTGCCAAGGAATGAAGCTGGTAACTATGAACTGTAGTCAGTATTTTGCTTTATATGTTTTTTGGTTGAATTTATCTGAACCTGTTTATGAAATTTTACCAGTAAAACATTTTTCTCCTGTTTGTTTAATTGTTCAGGAAACAATTGTAATCAGGGGCAACATGTGTCTTACAAGATATACTGTAGAATCATATAAATTTACCTGAAATACTTATTTACATATATTCAATAATCATTTTTATTTTTAAGATAAAAATTGTACAAGTTGTTAACGGAAAATATTCATGAGTTTGTGATATTCTTAGATACTCTGATAACCTTTGGGTAAGAATAGTAACTGTTCTAACTAGAAGTTCAACAGAATAAATATTGTAGAATTAATCTGAATTCCAAGTGTGACTGAGTTGAAACAAAGTGGATATTTAAGTTTACAGTAATACAAACATACTGTTTATTAACTTGACACACACATAAGGAACAGTTAAACACAACTTAATTCAGGCGTGCACAATAAGAGAGACAACACTGCTCTCTAGCGGTTGAGAGTTCTCTACCAAATAGAAGCCTGTAGGAAGTCTAGTCTAAACTTGGAGAAATAACTACTACATATATGTGTGTGTGTGTATTACAAAAGGGTCATTTCTTGTCATTCATGTCCCATAAACAAAAATAAGAAGCTCAGAGCTTGCTACTGCCATACTACTCTGCTGTTGTGTTATTTCATAAGAAAATCCGGAATGTTGATTTAAATACTAAATCGTTCTTTATCTTTAAAAGTTGTGTACTTGAGAAGGATCGCACCAGTGATCGAAACATCGTACCTGTTCTAAATACATATCTTACATACTGTAAAAGCTGTAACTTGTAATAAAATATAGTTAATCAGTAAGTAAACTCAAAATAAAATTATTAAAAATAAAGAATATATAAACTCCAGGTATTACTAAACCTCTTCATTACAGAACACATTAATGTAAGTCCAAGAAATTATCCACCCACACCTTCTTTAGATATTTCAACAACACACTAAAAGGAGAATTAACCTGGATAATGTATAACTAGCTAAGGTACGAAAAATGTTTGAACAAAGAATATTAACCTTTCTAAACTAAAATGAAAAGTAACATTTGTTATATTTGACATATCACAAGTTGAACTAACTTGTAAGCATTTATGTACACTGTTTATAATTTTCCTTTTTTTATATATTCCAGTTGCTGGAAATTGCCAATCAGCTTAAAGGAAGAGAAAGACATTCAAGTGCATTTGCGTTTGACATATGATGAGCCTATAGCCTTTTATAACTGCTTTATAGCGTATGTTAGTAGTTTGTGTCTTTAAGAGAAAGACGGATTACAAATGTACTGTGTACAATATATGAAAAAATGTTACCCATGTTTTTAAAGATGATCTAGTTAATTTCTTTATTAAATTCTTACTATTTAATTTTTTAAACCTAACTGAAGACATCTAACACAGTTAGTAATAATGTTCCTTTTGGAGACGGAAATTCTTTATGAAAATACAGATTTTTGTACTCTCATGGTTGAAAGAATAATTTGAAAGGATGGTAATTTCTTTGAAAAATTTTTAAAGCACACATTTCCTGGTTTGTTATATCTTATGAAAATAAAAACAGGCTGATTTTTAGTTTTGCTCTAAGTATATATCTTGCTCTGATTTCAAGTTGATATTAATATATATGACTGCTACATTTACTACTATATTAATCTTTCAGTAGGTATTAACTCTGATATTTCAGCACATTAAGACTGATAATAATTTTAATCATAGCTTTCTTTAGTGGACTAAGATGAGTTTCCAATATTAAGAAGAGTTTACAATAGTATTTCAGCCATACTTTCTCCATTGAATGCCAGTAGTGACAAGACCTACTGCTCAGTATCAAAGCTCAGGCCAGTTGGATTACAAAATATAAATTTTATTTATATCACTCACTTATTAGGCATATTGTGAAAATGATGAAACTCTAATGCTTTTAACAGTTAGACTGAGCCTGTTTTCTCAGGAATAAAGAAAAAAAAATGAGACCACCTATTGGAAACACTAATATTGTTAAAATTATTATCGACCGTATTGTGATATAATATTATACCTATTAAACAGTAACTACTGAATCATGTTTCTCCAACATAAGCATTATACACCACAACAGTAAATCCTATTTACCTCTTAGTTTAGTTTTACTTACTGTATGTGAGGCGACATAAATTATGATTGTTGTTCAGAAGTTAAATATTACAGTTAATTAATTAATTGTAATTAATTAAAATGTTTATATTTTATCAATCAGAAACAATTTTACTGCTGATCACATGTTTTATTATCCCCTTAATTTTTAATTAATTATCTTAATTAGTTAAGATAATTCACATTTACACTGACACAAGTTTATTTTTTCTAGTGATACCAACATATTCATTAACAGATGGGCATTGGTTAACGATGATGAAGATAGAGTAAGTAGAAGTTTCTTTAGTTTATTAGATATCAAGTTAAACATGATACATCCAAGTTTGTAATATAAAAAATTAATTTGAGAATTTAGTGTTTGCTCACCAATTTTTGAAAAGTGAACTCTGGACTTTGGAATCATGGATGTGCTATAAGAGTGGTCAAATCCCACTATTTGATCAGACAGGTGTAAATAGTTATCAATGAATGCTGTTGACTAGCTGCCTTCCCTCTTATCTTTCAGTTCAGAATTAGGGATGGCTATGTGCATATAGCCTTTGTGTAACTGTACATGAAGAAAATTCTAAAACAAACAATATTTTACCGGACATCCCTCTGTAATGTCTTGTTCGAATAGATATTGATGGGAGATTTATGTGTCTTGTTCTGTTTATTAACTTTGCTGTCATACTTCCTATTCAATTGTTAATTCATCAAGATGAACTTATAGCCCAAAAAATTAGCATTACAATGATGTAACTGCATTTCATAAATTTAAAGACTTAGTGTGATATGGAAGTTTTGAATTTTCCAGCAAGTATGTATCTTAAATAAGTAACTGACTATAAGAAAGCAATATTTAATTACTTATAATAGTTAAGCTACGTTGTGTGGGTAATCAGCTTGTAAAATAGATGGTTGAATGTGGTTACTTTTAACTTTATAAAAGTTATGCTTGTTTAACTAAGCATCATTGTTTCGATAATGCATTTCAATTTCAACTGTATAGAAACCACTGAAATAATACTTAATTATAAGAATAAACAAGAGAAAATAATTAATTTATAAATATCCAAAATGACATGGATTTAACTTTTAAATGTCTGATTTCCTTGATTTGTTGCACCTATAGTCTGATTTGTTTTATTGCATTGCAATAACTATGATTTATGACCAAAAAATTCCTTTATATGCTCATGTGAAAGTTGTATGAGGCAGAATTCTGTGTTCTGCTCATTTTTGCTACACTTGGTTCAGAAAAACACTTTTGCTAAAACTGTAAGAATTTTCTAGAACAACTTAATTACTACTAAATGTATTTGTCACATTATACAAAAATTAAATTAGGCAGAACTCTTATTTTTTATTTATAATAAAAGAACACAATATTGTGTATAGCAATTAGTGAAAAACCACAGTAAATGGAACAAACTGTCAAAAATCTGATATTAGATAACATGAGACTGAAGAAGATGCACGATGTGTTGAAACTAGTTTCTCTAATATCAGACTTCTGACAGTTTGTTCCGTTTACTGTGGTTTTCCTATTTTTATTCCCTTTTAAGTATCATTTGTAGTCCAGTTGTGCAACTTCCATTTATGTTGTTATTGTTATATATTTTATCAGAAGATTTGTTAGGAAATTAAATAGTTTTAGCTTGCATTCCAGAGCTGTGGAACTTGAAATGTCTGTCTTGAAACTACATGCATGTGAACGCTGGTCAAAAAGTTGACTAAGCTAAACAATACCTAAAACTAACTATACACAAAATAATAAAAGTATTGAATAATAACTTAGAAACTATTTGATACCCTATCACACAATTTAACTGTTTTTTACACTTTTTTGCACTCTCTCTAAAATTAAGGACAATTTTGTGTGCTCATTAGCAGGTGATGAGTCATGAGAGTTGTGGTACATCATATTTGTATGCCTTAATTTGTGTGCTTACATTGATACATTTCACTACTACTACTCTAGTATTTAGTATCATTAAGAATAGGTCATTGCTAAAATTTACCAGGATATCTGAAATTAAACTTGCTAGCCTTTCTTTGAGGTTGTGTTTTTTAAATATTTTTTTCAGTTGGGGCAAGTGTGTTATCATTGCCAGTAAGTTGGATACATGTGCTTCCCAAACCTTTATATCTTTAAGCAGGTACAGTTTTTCACCAGAGAATTATCATGCCATACCACATGAAGTGTACATTTTAAGATTCGATTGAACAAGGAAGACATTGATGGACACTAAATTGATCTGTGATGTCAGAAATATAACAATTGGAGATTTTTTTACATGCTTTGCTACAAAAAGTTTTCAATTTAAAACTCTGTGCTCTTCCAGTTGAAACAGCACAGTCAAGGATCCACACAAGTAGAAAAGACTAAGATTCATTTTGGCGACTCTCAATCAACCCTAGGCAACAACTTAAACAGCAGAAAAGAGGAATGGCACAACCAGAATACACCATCACAAGCAGTTCCTCAGATTATACATCCCAGATCCACATGGCCTGCCAAATTATCCATCTTCTAACAAACCTAGCAAAATAAAGTCAGAGAAGCACAAACATTATAGGCAATGAATGTTATGAGCAATAACTTTTCATAAGCTTCTTATTATGATGATAGCTAGCTTTTCTGTAAGGTACAATAAAATCAAACATGAAGTACAATCTCTTATCATTTCACCACTTGTCCCTGAGTTGTACCAGTTTCAGAGGATTTCATCTCTTATCAGTAACCATAGACAAGGGCAAATTGTAAGACCAGGATTAGAGTTCTTATTGTGATGAAATGTATGTATAATATGTTTATGATGTTTTTGTTATATTTTACACTCCTCAGTAAACTTATTTTTAACTTTTTTATATTTGTATAAGTTTTGAAGGGTTACGGATGAGAGGTAGATTTCAAGATACACCATATTGTATGATAAAATTGCTACTGATCAAGGTACGAAACAGTTAAAAGTTCTTATTAGATATTGGGCAGAAACAGACAACCAAGTTACCAGAAGATGCTTCTGTCTTTCCATTTTGGTCATAACATAATTAACAAACATAATTAAACAAATAGCATAACAAATCATGCATTTCTTAAAGGAAGATATAACCATCCTTTTGAGGCTTTTTATAAGTGTATTAAGTAATTGCTATAATGTCAACAAAACCATTTTGAATAAAATCAATAATGCCCTGATGGCTGTGAAGGTCTTCTACCTTTCATCTCCTACAATTCTTGAGTTAATGTTATACATAATGCATTCAAAGCTGGCCTGGATGTATACAGAACATGATTTGAAGATATTAGCTGCAATCTCCATAGATTTTTCAAAACGATTCCATGCAAAATAGAAAATTTCCAACGTATTGAACTGGAAATTAACTTGGATCCTTGCCTGTTCTTGAGATATGATTAGCAGATGGCTGACCTTGGTACCAACACTGGAGCAAATTATTGAGAAATGCAATACCATAAAGAAAAAATATCCTAAAAATGCTTTCATAAAAGGCCAGGAACGACAGCACAGAACATCCATTCTCCAAAAATGAAAGATACCTGAAAATGTGCTTGGTTGTTAAAGACGATACTTTGTTGGTTGAGCTGAAGTTTGTTGTGTCATTGGTAGTCTGCTACAAAAGTTCTGGATAATGAACTCACAGAGCTTGTGTCAAACATAATGAAAATATTTCTGAAATAAGGTGTTATTGGTGAAAAAAGAATGAAAGGCCTATAGACTGTAGACTACAAGACAGAGAATCATTTGTTCTGTAGTGACATGGAAATAGGAGACTCAACAAGAAGGGTCAAGGCTAAAATTTGACCAACAGAATATACCTGTATTATACATGAAACAGTTCGTCATGATCATTACAAATTTCTTACACTCACATGCACCTCTAGACAATGAAATCTACAAAGACTTAGCATATCTGCACCCATTTCTTCAGAAGAAAAAATGGGTGTGAAAACTTCAGGCACCTAGCACAGAAACTGAAACTTGTAGTGTCAGAGCAGGAAGTAGAACTTATCACAGGTTAATAGAAACTGTATCGTATGGAGGATGTTCCTGAAGACTGGTTTGTGGGATTAGAAGGCTTGCAACATGAAGTTTATTAGGAGAGCCAACAAGAACAATAAAAAAGTTTAGATCTGAAACAGAAATGACACAGTAAATTGATTCCTGACTTTTTATGCAGTTTGAAATATATGATAATTAAAATAATTTTTAATTAATAGAATGAGTGGTATTGTTTTAATATAAAGCTGTCTTTACATTATTGTTTCTTGGTGCAGAATCCTATAAAAAACAGTGAATTTCAGAAACCCAAGCTGTTCCAGGTAAGAATTGTAATTGTTTTCTTTATTGTATGGCATTGTGTTTTTACAGTATATATATATCTATATAAATATAATATAATATTACTGTCTGGATTGATTTTCACCAAAATTGGTATGGACATTCATTAGGTCCATGCAGGGGTACATAAAAATTTTCATTTTTGCAGTCTTTATGGGCATTTTTGCATTTTGTACCACTACTTTGCTCCCTGTTGATGAGTATCAATGTGAGAATGTATTTTTACTAGTATATATATATATATATATCATCCTCAGATTGGATTTTAAAAAGAGACCTGTCACACACTGGGTGAGTACTCTATTAGTGTTTGCAAGTAGGTCACTTTTTAACAACTCCAATTACTATAGTTGTATGAACTGTAGAGTTACAGTATTGTCGTGAATTGTCTCAGCTGTGGCCTTACTGTTAATATACTTATTTTATGCTTTACTAGTAGCTATAAATGTATATTTTGTCATTTCTTGACTTCCCAACAGGCTAACCCCTACAGAAAAACACTTATTTTTAATGTATAGCCACTTTGCTGTCCACCTTCCTACTGTCCCCTGGATGTGCACACGTGATGATGCAAGGGAGGTTCCTCCTTTGTTTCTGCCCTTATTGCAACACATTTTCACATGAGCAAAGAGTATACCTGACTCAGAAGTAGTACAGTCTCCCACAGGGGTGTTGCATGCCCCATGGTCTTCCTTTGGGCACTTTCTAAAGGGGGATCATCTACTCACCAGACCCTCTGCCAACTCAATGTAGGATTCTAGCTATTTGTGAGAGGAGGTAAGATATCGTACCAGAAGTTACCATTTTCCTAAACTGAAAATTTCTTTTCAATATATACTTTCCTCCTCTCACATTTCCTACCTGACCTCCCCACTTCCAGTGTAGGTTTTGTATGTACTGCCCAATCTCAAAATGATTACAAGCTGCACAGAAGAGAGGAGGCTAGTGATGATAGGAGTTGTCATACTCATATTGGTGGAGGGTTGCTGCATGATAGCATACAGGTGACTCACATGAATACATGTGAGGGTAGGTGGGAGTATCAAGGCTAGTGGCGAGAAACAATTTATGCCCATAGATAGCAGTATATGGGCAGAAAAGCTATTTGTGAGAAGAGGTAACTATCTATCAGAAATCCATTTTCAGTTTATGAAACTGTTAAATTTGCTTAATTCTGATCTGATATTTGCCTCATTTTGGTCTGATGTCTGAAATATTAGGCTAAGAGGCTGAATCTTGGTAATTTCTTATGTTCTAGTCTCACACATTGGATTTGGGGAATAAATATTGATAACTTGCTTCAATTTGGTCAGATATATTAGGCTAAGAGAGTGAATTCTGGTAATTTGCCCCACTCTTTTATGGTTATATTTGAGAAAGCTAATTCTTTTTTACCACTGGCTTTAAAATGAAGTAGTGAAAAATTATAAATATTATTAAAGAAAGTATTGATTTTAATTCTGGTTATCACATAAGTTACATTGGGCTAAGGGAGTGAATACAGTTAATTTGTCACACTCTGGTCTGACACATTGGATTTGGGGAAAAATTCTTAGTAACTTGCCTCATTCTGGTCTAGCACCTTGGGTTAAGGAAGTAAACTTGTTAGATCTAGTCAGGTAGTATTTGATAAAATCAATTTTCTTTATATTTTAATTCTGGTAATTGCACAAGGTTTGTTTTTGGGTATTGTAATTTACTGGAGCAATTTATAAGAGAGTAAATTTGATTTTCATCATATTTTATGGGAATTGTGAACTTTCTTCCATTAACAGCTTAAGTATTAACAAGGTAATATTGAGAGATATGAGTTTTAGGTAGAAACATAGTGATAATTATTCTGTTGTGATTTATTTGTGTGATTTTTAGAACCCTTGCTCTCGTCACATGGCAGTTATTGTAACCAGGTAAGTGATTGTATGAAACTTTAATCATGTACATTTCACAATAGCTTAGTAAAAGCTTTTTTGTAAAAAGTAAGAACATTTTGGAAAAAAATTTAAATAAATTGCTTACATGTCTTTCTAAAACAAGCTACATTTTTTTTCCCCCAAAAGTCAAAATACATGTTTTGAGAGATATTTCTAGCATTATTCCTTTTATTATTTAATTACAAAGAAAAGTTACTGGAGAACAACTTTGAATGTATCTTTAATTGTTAAAAAGTTTTTGACACAAAATATTACCAGTTTGAATGCTGTATAAAACAACCTACAATATATTGGTACAACAAAAAAACGTTAAAATAATAGTAATTAATTTTTTATTTGGGAAAAAAATTATCATGTGAGATAATGTTCTCATTACTGAAACCTCACATGCTTATAGCTGACAAACTAAAACCAAAACCTTTTGATCTTGAACCTACTCTCAAGACTGGACATGATTTTGAGATCCCACCTCTGCCTCATAGTGCACAAACTCATACACATGCCAAGACTAGACTCTAACATCATCTTTTTGTAATTGCTAATATGCCTGACATTTAAGATAAGAAATATTGCCATGTGTCTAACATCAAATATCAACCTTCTTTCCATAATCCCTGTCAAAAGCTTTTAGCTAAAATTTTGGGTTGTTTAAAATATAGTTTTTATCCAGAATTTAAAGTTATTTTAATTGAAATATGTTTTAAGTGTTTTCTGTATATTTGCAAGTATACTTACATGATTATCATTACTGAAAACAAGCAGAAAATAATAATTTTCATTTGTCAACTTGTAGATTGAAGGCAGAGAAACTTGAAGTAAATATGTGTAAAGATGAATCTAACTTTCAAATGGACAGCAACTGCCTGTTGTAGAAACCTACAAATGTAGAGGACGATATTTCGAAAGTCTTCCGCTTTTCGTCTTCAGGTCGGTGTGTGTGTGTGGTGTAGTTTGGTCTTTATAGTGTTCTAGTGAATTGTGGATAGCGTGTTATGATTGGTTGGTTAAAATACGTTTCTG